TGGGCTTCTCCTCGTTATGCATGGCATGTTTACAGACTTCTTGACGAAATTCATAGACAAGAACGTGGAGAGATGGAAAAGAAACTTCAAGCAAAAGATGAAGTCATTGAATCCAAAGACAAAAGCATACAGAAAAGAATACCACGTTCGGTACCAAAAGGAAAGGAAAAGAGTTATAAGTATATGATATATACTGAAGAGTTGGAGAAAGAAGAAGATAGAGATATGGTTATGTTGCATTTAGTCAGAAGAAACAACAAAAGCTTTTATGACCTTGCTAAGATTTACAAATCTGACAGAAACTGGTTCTATCGTGAAAACTTACCGATTTCAATGACACCGAATGAGCAAATAAAGGAAATTGTCAAAAATACTCTTCCTCAAACACACTATGACATCAAAGGTTGCACAATACTTACATTCAAAGAAGACTTAACATTACTGAAGGAAAAAATAACAGAATATTTCGATAACTTCAAAGAGGAAGAATAAAAAAATCTAAGCTAATTTTTTTTTTTTATAAAATTTTATCTCATATGAAAGAACATGAATTTAGAATATTCGGAACTCATGACAGAAGAAGAGAACGAACAACATGTAAAAGATTATGCAAAATTTCTGAAGACATACAAAGCATTTAAACAATATCTAAATGCTTCTAAAGATTATGCAAAATTTCTGAAGGTATATAAAGCTTATGAAAAAGCGTATGAAAAGTTTATACATTGGGGAATTGTTGTAAAATATCGATATGAAGACTAACCAAAAATATATTTTTGCTTAAATGACGTCAGGGTCAATTTCTTCAACCATTTCACTTCCTTCGTCAATGTCAATAGAAGCTTCTTCAACCTTTGGTAAGAACTTTTGTATAACATCTTTGTTCGTTATTGTTTTCAGAGATGAAGAATAATATTTCACATTTGTTTCACCCTTCTTATATTCTTTCTGTTCGGAAAGATTCATAGCAATACTGAAGAAGTCAATGTTGGAGTTCTTTATAATAGTATAATGAGTATCTTTGACATTCACGAAGAAACCTTTTGTTTCAAAACTACTGCTAACTCTTGTGAAGTATAACGTTTGCGGTCAATGACAATAGCTAATGGTCTGACATACTGACCAAACTTAGATTCTTTCACAAACTTCTTGTTAAAGATAACATTGACGTTTGAAGCATTATTGAACTCATTCTTGATGACAGTAGCGAGAGCATTGTATGAAAAGAACTTGCAATCTTGCATGTGTTTCATTAAAATAAAAATATTAAATTATTTTGAAAAATAACTTAAAAAAATCTAATCTAATTTTTTCAAAAAATATTTTTTTATTTCCTACTAAAGATGTATCGGAAGTTGTCTAAGTTAGAACACTCGGAAATAAAACAACTTCTTACAGAAGCTAATATAGATGTTGCAAAGCATTACACAACAAACAAAAAGGCACTCGCTGACATCCTCAATGACTATAATGGTGAAATAACTTATGATAGAATTCATGAGTTCATAAAGCCGCAACGCGGCGAGGACGAAGTCCATGCAAGAGCATTTCCTTTAAATGACGTTGCTATTGACTTATATCATAGACGTTCAATACCTCATGAAGTAAGAAGAGAAATGTTTGACATAACAAATGCAAACGTTGGTCATACTCGTAAAGCTCTTTCACATGACGTTCGTCAAGAGATGTTTGACATAACAAATGCAAACGTTGGTGAAACAAGAAGAGCTGTACCACATGAAGTAAGAAGAGAAATGTTTGACATAACAAATGCAAACGTTGGTGAAACACGAAAGAGAGATGACACACTGAAACAACAGAGAAGAGAGATGTTTAAAAGTGCTATAGAACAAGTTCGCAAAGCTAATAATGTCATTCGTTCCATTGACGACAAACCAAAAGAAGGTGAGAGATGGTTAAAGAAAGATGAAGAAAATAGGAAGAGGAATGTGAAGTCAGGCAATAGACTCATTGACTTTAACATCGAAGCTTTAGATGAACCAAACAGAGACTACTTACACAAACATTTCGGTAAGGTTTTCATGAGACTCTTAGAGAAAATTAAAATAAACTCCCAACAGAGATGGATGGTATGTTATAAACTTGGTGGAAAGTATGAATGTTCTACGTTAAACCTCAATAATATTGGAACATTACTACATCAGCTCTTGAAGGAGAACTTTATATCAGAGATAGAAGCAAATGCTGCAGGTATTGTTGAAATGCACTATGACTTCTTCTTGACAAACATAAAGAATCTTACGAAATAAAGATGTATGATTTAACAGAATATGAAGGCTTAACGATGTCAGATGTAAAGAAAGGCAAACCAAAAAAGAGACCATATAGAGATGAAAGCACACTGACAAATGACCAGAAAGCCATTTTGGAAGCTCTTAAGCAAACAGGAAACCCAGCACTTATAGAAAGCTTTTGGAAAGATAATGGTGAAAAGAAGTTTTATAAGAAGAGAAGCGGTCAGTTCTGGAAGTATCTTTGCACATTACCTATAAATCTTGAACGCTACCAAATCTTCAATGAACTGAACAAAAGAACTGCAACACTTATGACAGAGACAATTGTTTCGTTTATGCTTGCATTCAGGCTGGAGTAAATGAAGAAACTATTGACCACATGAGAGAAGTCATTCGTGTTAGAGACTTTCCTCAAAGTAAAGTACAAGAAATTTCTGACGCAACAGGTATAGCATTTAATGTTACCATTGGTTATTTCAATGACTCAAGACATAATGAAATAAAGAGATATATACCAAAAGAATGCGAAACTGTTAGAACTATTGACTTACTTCTTGTTGAAGACCACTACATGCTAAATGAAAGACTTCCAATGACAACATATTTCATTCGAAACTATAAAGAAATTCTCAAAGCTTGTGGTGGAATGAACATTGAGAAACAGATGAAGATTTATACAAAGAGAGAAGATAAATATGTAGTTCGTTATGATAGAACAACACCGTTATGGGATGTTATGAAAACATTGTGGGAGTGCAAATATTTCGAACCTATTTCTTATGGAGAACTTTTCACATATACTACTGACTTATATAAACAGAACCTTGCACCATTTAAAGATTTGACATATGCTCCAAAGTATTGTGTACAACTGAAGAAGAAAGCAGAGTCAAAAGAAGTAAATAAAGCTAAATGTAAATTCATACCTGAGCACGTTTTCTTTGCTGACTTTGAGTGTAGTACGGATGGCTTTCATAAAGCTTTTAACATCTGTTATGACAGTGAAGATGGTTCAGTTAGTGAAAGTATTTGGGGTCAAAACTGTGCAACAGAATTTTTGGAAAGACTTCCTGACAAGAGTTTAATATATTTCCATAACCTCAGTTATGACATAAACTTCATCTTAAGACACATGACAGAAGTGAAAGGAACTCCCATCATTAAAGGTTCACGAACAATGCAAATAACTGGTTTATATAAAGGACGGGCAATTATTATAAAAGACTCTTACAGTGTTATAAATAAGAAGCTTAAACTATTTCCTGCTATGTTTAACTTACAAACAGGACCGAAAGAAGTATTTCCATATAACTACTACAGCAGTGTTTTGTTAGCAAATGACAACAGAACTGGTGTCATTTCTGAAGCATGTAAGTTTATCCATGATGCAGATACATTTATGAAGAACATAGATTCCATCAAAGGTTGCAGAATAGATGAAAACCACTTCGACTTAGAAAAATATAGCACGTTTTACTGCAAACAAGATGTAAGAATTTTAAGAGAAGGTTTTGTAAAGTTCCGCAATGACTTATTGAAAGAGTTTGATTTAAACGTTTATGACTACGTTAGTATTTGTTCTATTGCTAACAAATTGTTTGAGAACAGAGTATACTTCCCGAATGGAAATCTTTATGACCTCTCAAATAAACCAAGAGAATTTATTTCGAGATGCATTCAAGGTGGAAGATGTATGTTGTCAGATAACATGAAACAAAAGAGCAAAAAGAAACTCATTGCTGACTTCGACACTGTTTCATTATATCCTTCAGCTATAGCAAGACTTTATACTTTAGAAGGTATTCCAAAAGTATTGAAGGAAGAAATGTTAAGCACAGAGTATCTCATGAGACATTTATTCGATGACGACCAAAAGGAACCCATTGGTGAAAAGTTTATGTCTGGCTTCTTTGTTCTCATTAAGATAACAGAGATTGGTATACCCAGACACTTTCATTTAATAGTTTGCGACCCTGAACTAAATCCAGAACTTAACGTTCCAAGAAGTTCAAACACTTGCTGTCTCATGTATGTTGACCATATAACATTACAAGACCTCATAAAATATCAAGGTGTCAAATGTGAAGTGTTGCAAGGATACTATTACGATGGAAACAGAGATATGAGAATAAGAGATGAAGTAAAGAAGTTGTTTGAGTTAAGGTTAAAGTATAAGAAAGAAGAAAACCCCTTACAAGAAATTATAAAACTCATTCTGAACAGCATTTATGGCAAAACTATTCTATCTCCTATTGAGTCAAAAATAACCATAGTAGATGACAAAGATGCTATAAGATATGCTATAAGAAATTACAACCATATAGTGAAGTTCGAAGGTTTGGATGGTTCAGATAAAACTATTTTCAAGCTAACGAAAAGCATTTGCAGACACTTTAACTTCTGTCCACTTGGTGTTAATATTCTGTCTATGTCAAAACGTATTATGAATGAAGTATTCTGTACTGCAGAGGACATGGGACTTCAAATCTTTTACCAGGATACCGACAGTATGCACTTATATAATGAAGACATCCCAAAGCTTGCAGCAGAGTTTAAGAAGAGATATGGTCGCGAACTTATAGGAAAGAACCTTGGTCAATTTCATAGCGACTTTGCAGAAATAACACCTGGAAAACAAAGTTTAGCTTATAAAAGTATTTTCTGTGGAAAGAAGACCTACATAGACTTACTCACTAACGATTTAAATGAAGTTGCATTTCACTGCAGAATGAAAGGCGTGAAGCAAGATGTTATTGCTTTAACCGCTAATGAAATGTTTCCTGAAGCTATACAATGCTATTACAATGAAGATAAGAACATTCACATACCTGTTGGAACATATGACAAAGACTCTGAGTTCAGTTTAATGAAACTTTACAAAGCACTTCATGATGGTCAAGAGATTGCATTCGACTTATGTAAGTCATGTCAACCTTGCTTTGCTGAAAAGTTCAACTTTTCAATAACGACTAAAACAAGCTTTATTCGTAAGTTGAAGTTCTGAGGTCATTTATTTTTGTCAGCAATGAGGTCATTCGTGATAAAAATAAAGCTAGCGTAGATTTTACAATACTGCGATGGTAGAGTTTAAGAGTTGTGCTTCAATGTAGAGACAGTCCTTCCCATCTGGAGGCAAGAACACTGGACATTTATGGTCATGAGTGGAGTACATGTCTATCCAAAACTCACGATTGAAGCCAGTTAATTTATAGTATTTAGGGTTAGGAAGTGGTGAAG